CGTGGCCTCGCGCCACCCCCCCCCCGTGTCCCTGTCACCCCGGGGCCACCGTCACCCTGGGGCCACCGTCACCCCGGGGGCTTCTGCCGTGGCCCCACGTTGTCCCCCCCCCGCGGTGTCCCCGTGTCACAGCCCCGTGACGTCCCTCTGTGTCACGTCCGTGCCATGGCCCGGGGCCGTGTCCCCAGGGCGTGTCCCCATGGTGTCCCTCCGCCGCCGTGTCCCCAAGCCATCTCTGTGCCACCGCTCCGTGTCCCTGTGTCACATCCCGCTGCCATCTCTGTGCTGTGTCCCCGTGTCACATCCCAGTGTCACATCCCGGTGCCATCTCCGTGCTCCGTCCTGGTGTCACATCCCCATGTCACATCCCCGTGCCATCTCTGCGCTCCATCCCGGTGTCACATCCCCATGTCACATCCCGGTGCCACCTCCATGCTGTCCCCGTGTCACATCCCAGTGCCATCTCTGTGCTCTGTCCCGGTGTCACATCCCGGTGCCATCTCCGTGCTCCATCCTGGTCCGTGTCACATCCCAGTGCCATCTCTGTGCTCTTCATGCTCCGTCCTGGTGTCTATCCCCATGTCACATCCCAGTGTCACATCCTGGTGCCATCTCCATGCTGTCCCCGTGTCACATCCCAGTGCCATCTCTGTGCTCCGTCCCGGTGTCACATCCCGGTGCCATCTCTGTGCTCCATCCTGGTGTCACATCCCAATGTCACCTCCATGCTCTGTCCCTGTGTCACATCCCAGTGTCACATCCCAGTGCCATCTCCGTGCTCCATCCTGGTGTCACATCCCAATGTCACATCCCGGTGCCATCTCCACGCTCTGTCCCTGTGTCACATCCCCGTGTCACATCCTGGTGCCATCTCCATGCTGTCCCCGTGTCACATCCCGGTGCCATCTCCATACTCCATCTCCATGTCACATCCCAGTGCCATCTCCGTGCTCTGTCCCCGTGTCACATCCCAGTGTCATCACCGTGCCACCTCTCTGCCGTGTCCCCACGTCGTCCCTCCGGGTCACGTCCCCACGCTGGGTCTCCACCTTGTCCCCTGTCCCACTGTCCCCTGCGCCGTGGTGTCCCCGTGCCGCGTCATCGTGCCACCTCCGTGCCACGTGCCCATTGTCACATCTCCATGTCACCTCCACGCCTCCGTGCCACGTCCCCCATGTCCCCAGGCATTGTCCTCCAGCCGGTCACATCCGCGTGCCACATCCCCGTGTCACCTCCGTGTCCCCATGCCACGTCCCCAAGCCCCACCCCCGCCTTGCCTGCCGTGTCCCCGTGCCACATCCCGCTGTGTCCCTGTCACCTTCCCAGCGTGCCACGTCCCCGTGTCACCTCCCAGCATGCCATGTCCCCACACCGTGTCCCCCGGGCACTGTCCCAGCGTGTCACATCCTTGTGTCATGTCCCGGTGTCGTCCCTCGCCAGCTGGGTCCTGTCCCCATCCCTGTCCTCACTTGGGGACCCCGCCCCGGGGTTGGGGACAGGGACACCAGGGAGGGGACAGCCCCCAAGCGTGGAGGCTGAGGAGCTGCTGGCGCTGGGGAAACTGAGCAGCCACCCACGGGGGGGACGGGGACACATGGAGGGGACACGGGTGTCACTGTGGTCACCGTGCCCCAGAACTGGGAGAGGGGTGGGGACAGTGGGAGGGGACAGACTGGGACACGATGGGGACAGACTGGGAGATGCAGGAGGACACAAGGTGCCGGGTTCCACCAGGACGTGGTGGGATGTACTGGGACACACTGGGGACGGGATGGGATGTACTGGGACACACTGGGGACGTGCTGGGATGTCCTGGGACACGTGGTGACATGCTGTGACACACCAGGGTGTCCTGGGACACATGGGGACACGCTGGGATGCCCTGGGACACCTGGGGACACGCTGGGACACACGGGGCTGTCCTGGGACATGTGGGGACACACTGGGATGCCCTGGGACACCTGGGGACACGCTGGGGCACACCAGGGTGTCCTGGGACATGTGGGGACTGGGGGGTCCTGGGACATGTGGGGACACGCTGGGACACCCAGTGACACACTGGGACATGCCGGGACACCCAGTGACATGCTGGGACACCTGGTGACATGCCGGGACACGTCGGGGCACCCGGTGACACGCCGGGACACACCAGGATGTCCTGGGACATGTGGGGACACGCTGGGGTGTCCTGGGACACCCGGTGACACACCAGGACAGCCCGGGATGTCCTGGGACGCCTGGGGACACGTCGGGGT